GCTCCTTGCTCGTCCGCGGCGTTGCGCTGGCGCAGAAGGCGCCGTACAATTTCTATCTCACAAGGCGCATTTCTAGGGCTCAAGGCGGATTTCCCGCCGACGCCGAAGCGCCTGTGCACAGGCGCTCGCCTGTGCGTAGGCGGACGTCCTTCGTCCGCGCATAGGACAAAACTTCTCCGCCTGCGCGAAGGCGAAGAGCTGAGTATCTTACAACCTTCATAACTCCCGGAGTCCTTATCCGTTGTTGGCGTTCTTGGGCCTCGTTGGAATCAGCGCATCGAGCTCTTTCCAACGAGACCCTAACTAAGTCAAGACGTTCGGGGGTTGACCTAAATATGAAGGATTTCCCTACCGCCGCGGACGCAGCGCCGAAGGCGGGTTTTGCGCCTTGCGCCGTAGGGATCCTAACTGCAGAGCTCGCAAGGAGGGTGGTGCCCTTCCTTACTGCTGCACCCAACTCCTAGATTCTACGAGGTTCCTCGAGAATCTCTGCGATCTTCCGAATTCACTCTGTTTTGATGCACCAAAGGCTATTTACGTTGTTGCCGGGGTACAGTTTTCCAAAAATGTTTTAATTTCCTCAAAATTACCAAAAGTGGGGTACCACAATACGTGTGCCTTCGGCACAGTCGCCTTTGGCGGTAGCAGATCGGGTAGGAGGAGCGGACTTGCCGGAAGCCGGATCTCCCACCGCATTGGACATCATGGCGGGGAGTGGAGCGGCGGTCGCGGCAGCAGAAGCCACGCAACCCAATTCCCGAGAATCCCCGAGCATTTCTGTAGCGACCGAGATACTCGACTTAGAGGATGACAAGGATGAATCAAGTTCGGAAGAACAGGAAGTGGAGTCGGTGCAAGGCACGCCGACAGTAGTTTTGTGCGAGCAAGTGGTACCCCTGCTGCAGTACCTTAATCGCAAAGTGGCAAAGTATGGTGATCCCCGCCATCGGGGGTCCTACGTCGAATTGGTGCGGAATTGGACGCGGACCAAGAGACCAACGCGGACCAAACTCATGACGAGTCCTTTGCTGGCTTCCCTGGACAGCAGGGTCAGGGATTTGGAGTTGAAGAACGACGCCCTACACGGACACCTCGCACTCTCGCGGAAGGTGCAGAAGGTAGTGAACCAGGCGCGTGAGGAGAAGTTGGCCGACTCGCAAAAGGAATTTGCGAAGCAGCGGGAGAAGCTTGAGGCGGAGCTCGATTCTGAGCAAGCTCAGAATCCCATCTTGTCAGAGGAGCTCGTGCGGCAGACACGGTTGCTGGAGCAGTGTTAGATCGCACGCCAGGCAGATGCGGACTTACTGCGTCGAGTGCAATCTTAGTGCGACGAATTGAGAGCGTAGTGTGCGGAGGCAGAGCTGCAGATGGTAGAAGTTGAAGGCGACCAACGGCGTGCGACAGATTGCACGCGAGAAGAGTTGGTAGAGCGAGTGAACCGCTGTCTCAAAGGCTACACTCATTGGGAAGTGGCTGCGCAGGAGAGAATCACACTGTGCGAGTTAGAGCTTTGTGCGGCAGCTTTGATGTCTGGTGACAGTCGGAGCCGGCGGCGGGTTGCAAAGAGATTAGATGCTTTTCTGTCGAGGTCGCAAGACGCCATTGCGAAACTCGAGGCAGAGGTGACTGCGGTACTTCGGCGGCTGGGGTTGCGCAGCAGAGCCGAAGATTGATCGGGTAGGGAGTTAGTGCGCGGTCGTCCGTCGCACAGGAGACATAGTAGATGACATGGTGTGTAGTGTAGTGTAGTGTAGAGTGTTATTTAGGACTTAAAAGGTATAAAGTAGTTCGAGGCGTCTTGCCTTGGGGATTTTCCAGTTTCGGAAGTGCAGTTCAGGAACTCATTTTCTCTACGCGTTTGTGTCCTTAGTTTTGTCACCGCGCAAGAGGAGCTACAGCTTGACGAAGTTACCGCATTTTGTAGCTGAAGGCCTTCGGTCGAATGTTCAGAGCTAGTGTACTGGTTAGATACTTGAGCAGTTCGGACTTTCACCTTTGGAGTGATTGTTGAATGTTCAGAGCTAGTAACTGGTTAGATACTTGAGCAGTTCGGACTTTCACCTTTGGAGTGCTTGTGGAATGTTCAGAGCTAGTAACTGGTTAGATACTTGAGCAGTTCGGACTTTCACCTTTGGAGTGCTTGTGGAATGTTCAGAGCTAGTAACTGGTTAGATACTTGAGCAGTTCGGACTTTCACCTTTGGAGTGCTTGTGGAATGTTCAGAGCTAGTAACTGGTTAGATACTTGAGCAGTTTGGACTTACATCTTCAGGTGATTTTTCCTGTTTGTACTCCTTCGAGATTGTTCCCCCTGAATGCCAAAGTGAAGTTTTGTTACTTCGAGTAAACCTTGGTTAACAATTCAGGTTGTACGCTGCCTGAGGCGCCTTCGGGGGTAGCCTCCGCAGTATTTCTAGGAATGACTAGTGCCTGAGAATTCAAACTTGTCAATAGACTGTTATGGTGTGACACTGGATCGTTTCTCAGTTCGGTTCCTGTATTCTTTGCGCGTTTTGTGAGTTAAGTGTGTTGCTCACCGCCTGTGAGTAGCTTCGGTTTGACGAAGGTACCACATCCGAAGTAGGAATCTAACCCGGGTGCTCAGCTCTCGCAGTCAGAGTTAACAATCCGGAGGTAGGGAACACTACCTGCAGATCCTCTAAATGTACTTGTGAGAAACTTTCCCCCTGAATCTTAAGTAGAGGTCCTAATCGACCTCTTAGTTGTGCTTTTCTAGTTTCAGGTGTGTGTTGGGGTGATCTACGCTGCACTGTGCGTACTCCGAGTGACCTCCGAGTTGAGCACTTGCAGTATTTCTGGGAGTGACAGTTGCCTGAGAATTCAAACTGTTCAATATTTTGTTAAACGTGACATTTAGTACTCTGTGTGTTGCCTCTATCCCTGTGGGTTCGACCTTTTTGCTGCTAGACTGCAGTTTTAGCCTTTGGTGGGTTCTTACACTCGTCTATCAATTCTGTGTATGTATGTATGGTATATCAGCATTTTATGTTGTATGACGATGTGTATTTGCACAACATATCTTATCATTAGTATCATCATGTGTTAGGTTATAATAAACAAGACGTGTAGTATTTTCAATATGGGATGAATGTGAATAATACACACATTCTATACTTCATGTACGATTATTGTCACTAGAGAACCCTTGGATCAACTTCATCATCAAACTTTTTTTTTCCACATATTCATCAAACTCCCATTCCATATCACTCTTGATTCTTGTGGAAACTGCAAGACTTCTTCTAAAAATGTATATAAATTTAAACTCATGGAATATATGAAAAAAAAGTCATTCACTAATCTCAACGGTTGAAGTTTATAATTGATTTTACAATAGATTCGGAACTCAATCATGTCCTGCAAGATGAGACAAAGGAACCCACCGGATACTGCAGCCTTCAATCCGTTAACTTACCTTCCGTTATCATTCAAATTTATGCAAAATTCAAATCGAACTCGCGGTGGATCCTCAACGCATCGTCGTATTTATGACGAATGCGGTTGTGAGTGAGCGTTTCTTACCTGTTGTAAACTCATGGACCCTGCTAAACTACCATGCTCATGGTTCTAGTCAAGAATATAGTGTAATCCATGAGTTCTAGTTCTCTTTCATAATGATCTCTTTGGAATGAACGGTGTTACGGGTTGGATTGTTCTTGTTGTGACTCTAAAGATTTCCAAAGTTTTCCTCAGAAGTGCGAAAAACTTAGTGAGTCTCTGAGTTCTGAAAATTGACCGTTCGATCACACTCACGGTAGAGTTCAAGAGACCGTTTCATATCAACAAAGGGAGCTGCCAACGGATAAAAATACATCCGTTCGGCGCTGCCAGATGCTCTACAAATTCCAGTAGATTCAACAGTTTGACCCTTTCACTTCCTACACACATTACTCTCATTAACTCTCCGACGAGTGACATCCTTGAGAGATAGAGAGTAGATTCAACAGTCTGACCCTTTTACTTCCTACGCACATTACTCTCATTTACTCTCCGACGAGTGACATCCTTGAGAGACAGAGTGTACCGCCTTACTCTGTTCGCAAGAGATTGCTCAACTTTACAATATGGTTGAACGCAGGGTTCCAGTGGAATGAATGAATGTCTTGTGAGCAGAAGCTCAGAAGACATTCGTTACACTGTAATCGAACAGAGTAATGCGGTACACTCTATCTCTGAAGATATCACTCGTCCGAGACACTGCAAAACAACTTGTGAATATCAGTACCCCTCGCATCGCTACACGATCAATGGCTTCTTGGGCTAAAACTAAAGTTACCTTCAGCGCCACAACAGTATTGTTGGCCGTCTCCTTTTGCTTTTTCTGCGAAACAAGTGGTTCACGGAAGACTATAAGCAATCCGAACTTGAATTGCAAATTTCCCGTATCAGTCGCATTTATCGGTTCGCCAAAGCGCAAGGAATGGAGATTCAGCACTTTTTCATCACGCAGACACGGGAGAGAGCTGGTCAAGCACAGCGTTCCAGCTTTTCCAGCTTCGAGCCGGAAGAGCTGGTGCCAGAAATGCAGTCTTTGACTTTCGTTCAATTTCAATTTCGTTTCAGTTTCGTTCAATTTCAATTTCAATTTCAGTTTCAATTTCGTTCGTTATGGTAGACGACCTACAGGCAGCTCGGCGACTGCTAGCTGCATGAATCAAAGCGGATACTGGAGTGGGCGCAACAAGTCAATAAAAAATCTATATTTTTCCTATCCGCTATTGGTTCGAGAGCTCAAGCCCTTCAATCGTAAAGCGCTCCCCCCCATGACGAGCGCGCAGCCCCCGATCCCACTACTGTTCCATGGAGTAATGATCGAAAAATCGATTCGCAATAAAAGTATTAGACCTTTTCTTGTAGAAGGTTTGCTAGCAAGCATTTGGCTACCGGATTACCGTCAAAATTTTGTGTATTTATGTTCTCACCAACATAATAATCCTCCAACTAGCTCAGATGAAAATCCGATTAATTAGGAACACTTTTAACAAGTGTCCTGCAGCTGCAGGCATAGGCAAGCAACAAACACAAAGCCAACGATTCACGACGCTTGGAAGCAATATCAAGTCGATCATAGTGAAACTCAACGACCATGCAGACCATGTTCTTTGAGCCCAAAGGTCTCAAAGAACATGCCAATTTTGTTCGTTATGGAGGACGACCTACAGGCAGCTCGGCGACTGCTACCATGACGAGCGCGCAGGTCTTTGAGCCCAAAGGTCTCAAAGAACATGCCAAGCAGGCCTGGTCTGAAAGTCAAAGTCACAGTATATTTGACACAAGCGAGCTTTATCGTACAACAATTGAGGATGCATCCAGTCATGAGTTTATGAGTCAACTTCCTTCAAGTAGAGGACTACTTGCACAGTTGAAGACCATGATAACGCAAGCAGAGGAGAATCTTTTCAAAGCCTCCAGTTTCCTCAAGATTCGAACAATCCTGGCTATCGATAGTTTCAGACAATGATAAAATTCTGATTAAGAGAATGATCTTTCTTGGAGCTCCTAAAGCTGCCCTTCTTCTCCCGGGAATTCCACTGCCTCCTCGTTTCCTGAGCCTTCCGACACCTCCTCTCCTCCTGCTTGAGCTTCAGGCGCAGCCTCTCCTCTCGGAGCTTCCAGCACCTCCTCTTGGGGCACTCTCCTGGGCTGTGTTTTCCACTCATGCTCTGCAATGACTCCGGGCGTTGGAATTATTGCACACCATGGGTCCTGGAGGTGTTGCGGAATTCTATGGAAACAGAAGTCATGGACATCGCGAAAAGGAGGGTCGGGAAGAAAAAACAGAAAGTCGAATCGAGCTGAGTATTTCGCCACCCCGAGTTCATCATATTGTTCATCGTAGACGAAGAAGGCATCACTGCCTCCTGCGGCATAAAGGTGGAAAGCTTTGCCTTCCCCTTCCCATAGTTCTCGAGTTCTCCCGATCAAAGCTCCATCCATTGCCCGAACCATTGGATCCCGGAGAAATGCGCCACCATAGCTCCTGCGATCGAACAGCCCGTCGAGACGAAACCAATCCATGGCAAGTAAGCACACATGTCCTTCATATGCAGCAATCTGAAGGGAGCCTGGCTTGTCCTTCTCGAAATTCTCTAACAAGGCCTTCCACTTCTCCTCTTGCAGATCAAATATTAAGAGAGCCTTCATCTGGTCCCTATGATTCCATACGAGCCAATACAGACATCCACCACATGATACACATTTCTCTCCTTGCCACCCCAGTTCCAAGTTAGCAGGAAACGGATGATGAAGCCACGACCATGTGCGGGCAGTCGAGTCGTAAATCAAAGATCTGCGCTCATCTGGGAATAGACCTCCTCCCAAAACCAGCTTGAAGTGTTTCGTATATCGGTCCACAACTAAACCCACCACTATACGTTTGAACATACCATCAATGATCGCAGGTATTGCATCAATTTCATAAGGTACGTTCAGGGTCAGGAATTTATCAGGAATTGGGTTATACAGAACATATTCTGTTGAAAAAGGTTTATTAAAACACAGGAGGCCTCCATCAGCAGCGATTAGCCAATTGGTATCAAATGTAATATTCCTTGTGATCCATTGATCACTGGAGCAAAAGAAGGCCGCGCCGTCAGTAAAAGGATCACAATAGACAATGACATGTTTATTCCACATTTTGTTCCGTAAATCAGGACCATCAACGATTTCCATCCACTTTTTACAGACTGAACGACATGCTGCAAGTGTGGAAACTGGCAGACCATGATCTCTGAGAACTTTGATCAGATATTCGATAGGTAAAGTATCCCATGGATCTCCAGTTCTACTCTCTTCCGTTTCGAGTACCATCGCAACAAAAAATTCAGAGGATGATGTATATCTCTGCATCAGCAATCTGCAACAGCTCAGAAGGGAGCAACATAATCCCTTGCGAGTTGATCTGGGCTAAAACTCTCACGCAGGTTCAAATGAGAAAAATTGTGTGTTATAACTCCTGCGAAGACACTTGTGAATCGACTTTCAAGCTTGAGAACGTTGGGTGCAGAAGTCTGGACGAGAGAAGAATGGAAACACTAATGACCAGTCGATGGTCATTTAGGGGTCAGACAACGAGACAGAAGTCACCGTCATGTTACAAATTCTGCTGGACCCGAATATCGAACAGTGTGGGGGTGGGAACGAATGATGAAGCTGTGACTTATCGATCGATCATCTTACCGTGTCAATTTGGATTTGGTGTCCGTTTATCTTTGAATTCAAACCTCCGGCACAGTTTGAAAAAAAAAGGTGTATTGCTTTGCACTCGAACCATTCAACTCTAACAATTTGGGATTCTCTTAAAAACTTGAACTCAATGCAATGCCCCGGGCAATGTACCCGACTAGACTAGCAGTGAAACTGGTTTCATGGTATAGATTGGAGATAGGCAGCTAAGTATGGTGCAGTGGATAGTAGATAAAGCGATACTCACAGTTTAGTACTTGGTTAAGTAGATAAACCGATACAAGAGTGGATATACCAACTACAACTTATCGTGTTCTAAGCACCGATGGAATGGAATAGTTGGTAGAACCTGTAGAGCAATTAGAAAATATGGGGAGAACGGTTAGCACTCAAATTAAGGCTCATATGAGTAGCAGTTTTTTTATTAAAACTTTGCAGAATGCGGCTGTTGAATCGAGAAGCTACATCAAATATGTTTAAACTTAGAATTACAATGTGGATTTATCTTTACGTTGGTAATGTTTTTGTTGGTATGATGATGAACAAAGCGTCATTGTGAAAGTTTTGAGATAAGATAATATCCAAATATCATGAAATGTGAGAAAAAGTACGTGTAGGGCCATACTGCCTACGTATGTGTATACAAATGACATGATTGTGTTGGAGGAGGAAGTGACTCTCCCATCGGAAGATCTGAGGTGGAATGAGTAGGAATCGAAAACCTTGTCTAGAGTGTACTAATCCATAATCTACACAAATCTGACCTCAGTGCGAGATAACACCATAAAAATGTTTAATCAGAAACACAATTAGAAGTTGCGCAAGTATCTCATCAAAGTTCAGAACTGTGAGCTGAATAATAACCTTCCCATCATGGAAGTGTTATCTTAATTTCCTAGGAACATAAGTTTGACGATATTAATGCCGAAGAGCTAGAAGAGTTAAATAGTATACATTGTGCTGAATTATAATAATAGTTTAAAGTCGATCTTACAAGCTAATTCTGATTTGATCATAACCATTATAAACATCTTTAGAATTATATTATTGTCATTTTTTCTAAATACTCATGTATGAAAAGCTAAAAATAATGCACGTATACATATAGTTAACTATTTTCTTTTACTACCATAAAATAGAAAAAAAATTTGAATTCAACTTTAGATCAAAATTAAACTCGGTTTCATATGAAATGAAATTATATTTTTTCAATTTGTGGATTTCTTCTTTCATCAAATTAATTTTTGAAAGATTTATCATAAGGTTTCTTTTCGTCCCAAATGAAAAAAATTTTAATCCGATACAATGTGATTAATCTCAATGTCTCATACATTTGATATTTATAATTAAAAAAAAAGACATGTATATATAAAAAAAATATAAAAAATAATCTTTGATAACTAACAAACTGGACACTAGAGTACCGTCAAAAATCTTTTTATCGTTAATCTTCATCTTGTAAATAGGTTTCTAGCCATCTTTAAAAAATGAACTCATAGGAGCAACAAGTTATATTTAAACATGATCATAGGAGATATCATTGGATGATTTTACTTTTATCAAACGTTGACATTTCTATGTCAAATTCAAAAATATTTTCACTTTTTCATTCTTTTAATTTTTTACATTTTTAAATTTCACTAACATCATAGCTCATCATGTTTTTAAAAATCTGGAATCGATTTACATACACATTTTATAAACAAACTATCACATAATATCTCTACTCATCACTTAAAATTATCATTCATTGACACTTAAAAAGGATTCAAAATCTCAATTTTATTGATGGATAAAATTTCGTATTACAAAAATTATTACGACAAAAGAGAGTTGCCAACTTTGGTTTTTGACGAGCATGTTTGTAAGTAAGAGTTTCATAGCTCAGTGATGTAGTAAACTCATGGTTTCTGGTCAACTACCATGCTCATAGTTCTAGTCAAGAATACTGCTGTCTTACTTCAGCTCCAGGTCTCTTCATCATAGTTTACGGTTGTAGAATGAACAGTATCACAGGTTGGATTGTTCTTGTTGTGCCTCTGAAGATTTCTGTGGTACCCCACTTTTGGTAATTTTGAGGAAATTAAAACATTTTTGGAAAACTGTACCAAGGCAGCAATGTAAATAGCCTTCGGTGCATCAAAATAGAGTGAATTCGGAAGATCGCAGAGATTCTCGAGGGACCTCGTAGAATCTAGGAGTTGGGTGCAGCGTCAAGGAGGGCACCACCCTCCCTGCGAGCTCTGAAGGTATGATCCCTACGGCGCAAGGCGCAAAATCCGCCTTGGGCGCTGCGCCCTCGGCGGTAGGGAAATCCTTCATATTTAGGTCAACCCCCGAACGCCTCAATCTAGTTAGGGTCTTGTTGGAAAGAGCTCGACGCGCTGATTCCGACGAGCCCAAGAACGCCAACAACGGATGAGGACTCCGGGAGTTATGAAGGTTGTAAGATACTCAGCTTTCCGCCTACGCACAGGCGAAGGAGGTTTTGTCCTATACGCGGACGGAGGAAGTTCGCCAGCGCACAGGCGAAATAGGGTTTCGATGTAGGCGCGAAGTTTGCCTACGCACAGGCGTCCGCCTGTGCACAGGCGCTTCGGCGTCGGCGGGAAATCTGCCTTCGGCCCTAGAAATGCGCCTTCGGAGGTAGAAATTGTACGGCGCCTTCTGCGCCAGCGCGGACGAGCAAGGAGCCGCCAGAATAGTAAAATCCGTACGGACCGTACGGACTGTACGGACGGGACGGATGGATGCGCTCTTGGTCGGACGGAGTTGCGGCAGCGAGAGCGCCGACGGAGAGACCAGGGACGGACAATCTGGACAAAGTCGGTTGACCGCGGTCAACGCCTTCCGCGCCGACGCATCGACGCGGACGGACTTTGCCTGCGCACAGGCGAGCGCCTGTGCACAGGCGGGTGAAGTTCCGCGCCGGCGGAGAATCCGCCGCGGAGTCCGCCTGCGCACAGGCGGGAGTTGAACTTTTGTCCGACGTGCGGACAACTGCCGAGGCAGAGGAGGATTGGCTGAGGAGCGGTACGAACGAGTGTACCGCGCAAGGCGGAAAATCCGCCTTCGGCGCTGCGCTCCCATGTCCGCGGCGTAGTACGCTCGCGGAGTTCAAATTCGCCAATTCGAGCGTGAGAGTTAAATCGGCGTTGGCGGAGCGTGAAGCCGCGCGTGAGAGCGGAGACCGTTTTAGCATAGAGCCGGCGCGGCCATCAATTGAGTCGTCCTTCACGAACAAGAGCCGACCATGACCTTCGACCGGGAGACGGAGAGCGTCCCATTCTTGAATTCGCGATTCCATTCTCTAGTGCGAGCTGCGCGCGTCCATCTGCTAGCTGCTAAGCATTCTCGACATCGCCGCGCAGAGGATTTCTTGGTGATTGAGGGAGGAGTGAGTGCGCGTGATTTGGAATTGAGGGAGATTAGAGTTTGCCGAGGAAGAAAGGAGCTCGAGCGGAGCGGAAGGAGAATTAGCGAGCAGGCGAACTCCAAGAACGCAATGACGAGACTGGGCCGATTGCGGATGCTGCCGCTCCGACTACCACAGAACGGGCTGCGCGCTTTTGAGGAGCGGCTGATAGCAAGAAAGCTCGATTTCTTGCTATGGCGATGGAACTACATCTGTGTGGATATGGTGCGCGAGTGGCTAGAGCCACAGGGACCACCTACGCGCGGATTGCGGCCGCATGTCGATCGGTGGACGGTCCAAGATTGGGCGCAGGCATTGGGGAGGTGTGCCGGCATCCCAAGGCATCTCCTCTTTGATAGTGAGAGCGTCAAGGTGTCCAAGCAGGACGAGGCGCAATTTGTGGAGCTGTTCAAGCGGGAGAAGTCTACCAAGAATGGGTACAAGACCCGCGATTACAAGGATCGCTTCCGCCGAACTGTGGCTACGGCGCTGCTGCAATTACTGCAGCCACACCGCGCCTGCTACATCACATTGTGGCAGGTCTCTTTTGTGGAGTGCATCATCGAGGGAGCTCCAATTCACTGGGCGAGCATCCTGCACAGAGTGATGCGACAGCACGCTTTTGAGGAGAAGGGGGGAACTCTAAATCATCTCTCTCCTTTCCTCATCAATTTTTATCGACAGCGGAATTGTTTGACCGCGGCGGAGCTTGCTCGTTTTCCGCCGTTATCCGTCGACCATCCCAGGAGGTATGTGCGGGAGAACGAGGTCGACACTGATGCAGAGGAGTCGCCGACTTCTACTCCGTCAAGGCGGAGGGACGAAGAGAGAAATACTCCTACAGCAAGAGTGCCGCGGAAGCGGCGATGGAGAGAGGAGTCCGAAGAGGAGCAGCATCAAGAACCCACTGCTCCCATTCGACAGCGGCCGTTCTACGAAGTGTGCAGCCGGCCGAAGCAGAAGGCGCGCAGGCTTGTGTTACCAGCCAGCAGCGCGGACACGGCGACGATTGCAACGGAGAAAGGAAGTGCGTCGCCGGAGAAGAACGAGGGAGCAACGGACCCCGCTGCACCTTCAACGGACGAGAGGCCGTCTACGGGCAAAGGGCCTCCGGAGTTACCACGTGCGTTGCGGACAGGTGTTCCGCCTGCGCACAGGCAAGCCTCGACGGATCGGCGACCACAAGCGGACGTGGACCTACGCCTACGCGTGGGAAGAAGCAGTCCGCCTGTGCACAGGCGTTCGCCTGTGCACAGGTCGCCTCAACACATGCCGCCTGCGCACAAGCGGGATTCACCCCCGTTCCAACGTAGGAAGGGGAAGGAGCCGGCGGAAGATCCGCCTACGGGTCACGGACCTTTGGGACTAGACCCCCCGGCGCCCAACGCGCCGCGATTTGCGCCTTCGGCGCCAGAGCCTTCGGGCCGACGAGATGCGAACAGGGAGCATGCGGAGGCTGCACCATCGGCGGGTAGTCCGCCGGTAGATGCGCCTTCGGCGGTAGGGCCTACGGGC